GAGAAGACCCAACTCATTTTTTGTTTTGTTTTGGTTTCTGAGATGGAGTCTCACTCTACTGCCCAGGCTGGAGTGCAATGGCACAACCTCGGCTCACTGCAACCTCCACCTCCCAGGTTCGCGAGATTCTTGTGCCTCAGGCTCCCGAGTAGCTGGGATTACAGGTGTGCACTACCACACCCGAGTAATTTTTGTATTTTTAGTTGAGATGGGGTTTCCCCATGGTGGCCAGGCTGGTCTCGAACTCTGACCTCAAGTGATCCACCCGCCTCGGCCTCCCAAAGTGCTGGGATTAACAGGCATGAGCCACTGCGCGCAGCCCAAGCTCACTTTTGAATTCCCTGTCAGAAAAAGCTTTCAGTTAGTTCTAGTCCACACCTGAGGATAGGCCTCAGCTTCCCTTTTTTTTTTTTTCTTTTGAGACGGAGTCTCGGCTGAGCGCAGTGGCTCACGCCTGTAATCCCAACACTTTGTGAGGCCGAGGTGGGTGCATCACCTGAGGTCGGGAGTTTGAGACCAGCCTGAGCAACATGGAGAAACCCCATATCTACTAAGAATACAAAATTAGCCGGATGTGATAGCACATGCTTGTAGTCCCAGCTACCCGGGAGGCCGAGACAGGAGAATCGCTTGAACCTGGGAGGCAGAGGTTGCCATGAGCCGAGATCGCGCCCTTGCACTCCAGACTGGGCAACAAGAGTGAAACTCCATCTCAAAATTTAAAGACAGAGTTGCCCAAGCTGGAGTGCAACGGCGCAATCTCGGCTCACTGCAACCTCCACTGCCCGGGTTCAAACGATTCTCCCGCCTCAGCCTCCCGAGTAGCTGGGATTACAGGCAGGCACCGCCAGGTCTGCATTTTTAGTAGAGATGGAGTTTCACTCTGTTGACCAGGCTGGTCTTTAACTCCTGACCTCAGGTAATCCACCCGCATGCTTTCCTTTCTTAAGGCATTTACTAAAAAAATGGATTAGAATTGTAAATCCTTCCTCTCTTCCAGATGTTTATGTGTTTCCTACAATTAGAGTGTTTCTCAAGGGCCTGGAAGCCAGTCCTTTGAAATGAAATCATCAGAAAGGATAGGGCCTCGATCTCCCAGTCTCTGGGAGGATAAAAATCTAACTTTAGTAATTGCCAGGTAGCAGACACATCTGGCCTAATCACATTTATACTGGCAAACCCTGTGTTGTTTTTCACTGCCATGACTCTACTGAGTCCTGCTTGCGTTCCTTCCCTACTCCCTCATTTTCCCTCTAAAATGCCCAGTCACCTCTGCAAGTCAGAATGAAGCTCTCAGCTCTTTCCTCTTCTGTCAGTAGTTACTGAATAAAATCTGTCTTCACTGCTTTAACTAATGTTACTTAAACCACAGATTTCTGGCTTCACACCCAGAGTTTCTGATCCTGGAGGTCTGAGGTGAAGCCTGAAAATGTCCATTTCTAGTAGTTTGCAGGTAATGCTGATGTGCTTGCTCCGGAGACTTACTTTTGAGAATCACTGCTTGGCCGGGCACGGTGGCTCATGCCTGTAATCCCAGCACTTTGGAAGGCCAAGGCGGGTGGATCACCTGAAGTCAGCGGTTTGAAACCAGCCCGGCCAACGTGGTGAAACCCTGTCTCTACTAAAAATACAAAAAAATTAGCCGGCCATGGTGGGGTGTGCCTGTAATCCCAGCTACTCGGGAGGCTGAGGCAGGAGAATTGCTTGAACCTGGGAGGCAGTGGTTGTAGTGAGCTGAGATCATGCCATTGCACTCTAGCCTAGGCAACAAGAGTGAAACTCCATCTCAAAACAAAAAACAAACAAAAAACACAAAAATTAGCCGGGCGTGGTGGTGCATGCCTATAGTCCCAGCTACTCGGGAGGCTGAGGCAGAGGAATCTATTGATCGCTTGAACCCGGGAGGTGAAGGTTGTAATGAGCCGAGATTGCGCCATTGCACTCCAGCCTGGGCAACAGGGCGAGACTGCATCTCGAAAAGAAAAAAAAAAGAAAGAAAAAGAAAAAAGAAAAGAAAAGAGAATCACTGCTCTGGCTGATCAGTTATGGCCCCTATTCACAGATTTGATTTTCTAGTGATACAGCTTCCTTAAAACCTTATGTGACTGCCTGTTGGTTTCATATGAGGGGACTCAGAATGCTAAAAACAAGGGCCAAGAATCTTGTCAAGCTAGGCTCTTTGAAGCTTCAGATCTACTAAAGGGAATTAGACTGGATCATCCTGTCGTGGCTTCTATTCATCATATTTAGGAGAACTGGAGAACAAGGAGTACTACTTAGGAGGCAGATAGAGATAACTTCATTCCAGTTGCTTTGATGCCAGTTTTGTAATTGGAGAAATCCTTGAGGTGAGATTGAGATTCTCCTGTAATTCAGCAAGGCCAATGAATATCTGACCCTCAGCAAATGCAGATCTCTTGATATAAGCAAAGGGGCGGCTGTTTTGAGTCACCAGAGCAATTAGCAACTGCTTCACTGTCACATAACACACAATGCCAACTTCCTTCCCATCAACTGATGCGGAGATCTCTGATATCTATCCGCTCCACATTTTAGGGTCTCCACAAAAAATAAAATTAAGGCCGGGCGCGGTGGCTCAAGCCTGTAATCCCAGCACTTTGGGAGGCCGAGGCGGGTGGATCACAAGGTCAAGAGATCGAGACCATCCTGGTCAACATGGTGAAACCCCTCTCTACTAAAACTACAAAAAATTAGCTGGGCATGGTGGCGCGTGCCTGTAATCCCAGCTACTTAGGAGGCTGAGGCAGGAGAATTGCCTGAACCCAGGAGGCAGAGGTTTGGTGAGCCGAGATCGCGCCATTGCACTCCAGCCTGGGTAACAAGAGTGAGACTCCGTCTCAAAAAAAAAAAAAAAAAAAAAAAGATAAAAGAAATAAATAAAATTAGTCAGGGGTAGTGGCATGTGCCTGTAGTCCCAAGCTACTCAGGAGGCTGAGGCTGAAGTCAAGGCGACAGTGAGCTGTGATGACACCACTGCATTATCTGGAATCTGAGACTTGAACCTAATGAAGACTCTATTTCTCATCTCTGCCCTTCTCTGAAAGTCTGCATTTTTTTCTCTCTTTCTGCAGACCATCATCTTTCACTTCTGTCCCTCTGGTGGGAAAACGGTTTGACAGCTTCCAAGCTTTAAACTTAAGAGAAAAGCTGGTATCTCTGGTTCCATTCCAAATTTCTATAAAATGAGATTTTGATTGCCCCAGGTTGGATTAGGTCCCCACCTCTGACCCAATAAGCTATGGGGCAGTTTTTGCCGTAACCTTATAAATGGGGGAAGGGGAGGGTCAATTCCCAGAAAAAAAGGGGCTGGGCAGACAGTCCCATAGGTGTCCATTATACTAAAAAACCTCTATTCCTTCCATCTTTCATCCCTTCAAGTCACTGCCGTCTCCTTTCACTGCTTGCTTTCAAGAGTTACCTATGTACGCTGCCTTACCATCTACTTATTCTTTGCCAGTCGGGCTTGTTCCATCTTCACTATTCTAAAATTTTTTTTTTATGGAGCTCGAAGCTTTTTTGCTTTTGCATCCTAATAGAGTGTTCTCCTATCTCATTCATCTTGATCACTCTTGGGTTCTGCACTTCTGCATTCTAACTCTGCCTGCCATTATTTCCCACCTTCCAGTAAGTTCCAGGCCAGATCTGGCTACAACTCATTTCAGATACTGTTTTCTGCTCTATTCCTGCTGAAAGAGTAGGCCGGCCCTAAAAGCCAGAAAGAAGACAGGAACTGCGTCGGTTTCATCTCAGTATGTTGAAAATACATTTTTCAAGATTATGACTCTGTACATCTGAAATTAGAGCCCTTGCAACTGTTTAGAAAAGCTCCTGGCAGACGAAAACACAATGAAGTTTGGAAACCAAAGGCCCTAACCATAGGACACAGTGGATGTGGGAGTACCAAAAAGATACAACTTGTAATTTGTGTTGGTAATTATCTCCTAGCCCAAAGAGATCCTGAAGGCAAGGATATTCGACTTTGTCTCTGCATTGCCTTAGGCAAGTAAATAATGTCAGTTTCATCTTTTGTTTTTTTTTTGAGACGCCCAGGCTGGAGTGCAGGAGTGGTGCAATTTCCGCTCACTGCAACCTCCGACTCTCTGGTTCAAGCAATTCTCGGGCCTCCGCCTCCGCACTCACCCCCACGCCCAGCTAATTTTTGTATTTTTAGTAGAGACAGGGTTTCCCCATGTTGACCAGGATGGTCTCGATCTTTTGACCTCGTGATTCGCTCGACCCTGGGCCTCCCAAAGTGCTGGATTCCAGGCATGAGCCACCAAGCCCGGCCAGTTTCATCTTTTTTTTTTTTTTTTTTTGAGATGGAGTCTTGCTCTGTTGCCAGACTGGAGTGCAGTGGCCCGATCTCGGCTCACTACAATCTCCGATTGCAAGCGATTCTCCTGCCTCAGCCTCCTGAGTAGCTGGGACTACAGGCATGCGCCACTACGCCCAGCTAATTTTTGTATTTTTAGTAGAGACGGGGTTTTACCATATTGGCTAGGCTGGTCTCGAACTCCTGACCTCGTGATCCACCCACCTCGGCCTCCCAAAGTGCTGGGATAACAAGCGTGAGCCACCGCGCCCAGCCCAGTTCTATCATTCGTAATTGGGAGCAACAGCTTTTTAAATAGTATCTTTTCCACTAAGGGGAAAACCCTCCCTCCCGGGGAGTTTTAGCTCACTTTAGCTTAATTCAGTCAATCCACTCTAACTTCCATTCCCATGATGCATCAATCCTTTCCCCAAACCTCTTCTTCCTGGAAAAAGCAGTAAATAACCTAAGCAACTCAGTAAGATGCAACGAGTTGGAGTGCAAATCCTAAACACTGATGGATCACGCCTCGCCTCCTGTGACTCTGTGAGCGCAAGGGCTGAGAAGGGTGGTAGTCTGGTTCCTCGACTACCTCCCAAAGCCATAGAGAAGACTACAACTACCAGGATGCCCCTCTCCCCGCCCCGCCCCTCCTCGCTCCCCTTCCTCCAGCTAGAAAGCGTGTACCACCGAGAAGACGACGCAACATGGCTCCCGGAGGTGGAAGAAAGAGGCTTCACCCCTTCTGAAGCTGGAGGAAGAGCGGCCGGAGAGGAGAAAAGAGAGAAGTGACTAGCTTTTATCCTCCCAGCCTCTCCCGAGTCCAGTCTGCCTTTCCCCTTCTCTGCACCCAAATCCAATTTGTGGTTTCCTCCCCTCCCCGCCCTCATTCCCTCGCTTCCTCACCCCTCCCCTCGGGAATCCTTTTCCCGTCCCCCCTTCGCCCCCCGCGGAGTGCGCACGCGCCCGCCCCCAGCTTCGCGCCCAGATCTTCGCCTAGCCTGCTCGCGCAGCTGCTATCTCATCTGCCCACCGACGAAGCATGGGTGTCCAGGGCTTCCAAGAGTTCCTGGAGAAGCGCTGTCCCGGGGCCGTGGTGCCCGTGGACCTCCTCAAACTCGCGCGCACGGTCTCGCGCCAGCAGCAGCAGCAGCAGCACCTGCACCGCCAGCTGCCACCGACGGCAGCCCTGGCACCCGGGGCTCCACGCGCCGCCAGGGGCTCCGCGCCTCTGCAACCGCCGCTCCCGCCTGCCTTGGGTGCCTACTCCGGGGGCGCGGGGCCAACTCGGCACCAGCACCCCGCTCACCACTTCCACCATCACGGCCAGGCGCAGCCAGGGCTGCACCCTCCGCTGCCGCCGCCGCCCCCTCCGCTGCCCGGGGCCCGGGTGCTGGTGGACGCCGGCTCGGCGCTGCCGCGGCTTTACGGCGGCTACCAGACGGATTGGGTGTGTGGCGGCCAATGGAACGCCATGCTGGGCTACTTGTCAGCGCTGTGCCAGGCTTGTGCCTATCCTGGCGGCGACGGCCTGGAGCTCGTGGTCATGTTCCCCGGGGGCCTGGGCAAGGACCGGCTGGCTGAGTGGGGCCGTCGGTGCCAGGCCGAGCGGCAGACAGCGCAACTGATCGTGGGACACGTGGGCAACAAGGGCACCCCTCCACCGCGGGCCTGGTTCCTGCCACCGGCCTGCCTGAGCCACTGCGTGAGGCTAGCACTCATCCGCTTCCGGGTCAAGGTGAGGGAGGGGCCGGATCTTAAATAACACGCCCCACACCTATTCCCTCCCAACTAAACACCTAACCACCTACCCACTTACCCGCTACCCTGCCTCCCATCTACCCACCCACCCGCCCAGCAGCTAACCTACCTGCCTAACTATCCTCTACCATTTACCTCCCCCTTCATGCCACCCCTACGGATTCACTCACCTACATGGGCCATATCTCTACTCATATCATCCCAGTACCTCGCTTTAGCTTCCCTTATCCAATTGGCCTACGTCTAGGTTTGAGCAGAATCTAGGCAGAATTTCTTTTGTAGCCTCACCTTTCTCCTGCTGTTTTCTGCCTCAAGCTGAAATGCCTTTACCCTGCTTTTTCCTGTTGACATCTCTCCCCTGTATCTCTTTCCAGCCTCACAGCAAATCCCTTAAGCAGGTGTGCACTGAACACCTTCTACATTGTTTCCATCTTCACCCACTGCTGTTTTTTAACCCATCTGTCTATTCAGCCTTTTTCATTTCAACATGCGTCTTCTTCCTCCTGCCTTAGCCTAAACACATAAACAAAAACCCACTGATTCAGTCACTGTTCAACAAGTATTAACGCACTGAGTGTAAGGGTTTAAAGTTATGTGAGACACTGGTCATACCCTTGGAAAGTCAGATGTATACACATGAAACATTTAATTGTATCAATGTGTATGTGATTATGCCTTATGGTCCAGACAGTAAGTACAGTTCCTGTTTTCTGTATGTGGGGGTGGTGGGATATCTTTGGACTAAAGTGGTCAGGGGAGGCTTCCCTGAAGAAGTCGGACCTCACCTGTGTCTTCAAAGATGGATTGGATTTGAATGAGTCACAAGCTTGGGAGGAGGTTGCTTTAAGTGGGAGGAAGAAAATGAGCAGAAGCAAAAAGGAATATCAAGTGTACAAAGCCCCATAGGCAGTTAAGTCCAATCTGCATGTAGTTGGGTCAATGCATATGGGGCCTGGGGAACAGCTTGGCAGCATCCCCAGTTCTTGGCACCACTGCTATTGCTCTGTTGCTTTCCCATACTCTTAGGTTTCAAGTTCCTACGTGTAGAGAATAGCAAGGCTTGAGAAGTAAAGGAGGTGAGCAGGAAGAAGAAAAAAGAAAAGTAGTACAGGGTTGGGTAGAATGAAACCGCAAACCTATTTCCCCAACCAAGGTTCTTGGGGGTTGTCCTTACAGTTAGACACAACAGGGGATTGTGGGAATCAGTAAAGAAGTGTCGGCTGCAGTGATGAAAGAAATTTTAGCTCAGAGACTAAAAGACCTAGAGAAGTTTGCAGTGGTTATAGAGCTTGTGGCTGGAGTCCAGTCATGCTAGACTCGTCAGCATCAAATCTGCCTAGAGTGGCTAGATTATAGTTGTTTTAATTTAAACAAATCCAATTGTGAGCTATCTCAAACATACAAGGTAAAAAAAAAGAAAAATAGACCCTTTTGCTTGCTCTTCTGACTGAACATTTTAAGGTAGATTCTTTGTTCATGGCTCTTCTTTCCACTCTGTTTTCACTGCTGCCACCCAGGCTTTTAAGGACTTTTAACTCGTTGTTATTAATCTGGTTGCTGGCAATAGTGACCACATTGATGGAATATTTATTATGCGTCAGGTACTATGTGCTGCTTTTTTTTTTTTTTTTTTTTTGAGACGGAGTTTCACTCTTGTTACCCAGGCTGGAGTGCAATGGCGCGATCTCGGCTCACCGCAACCTCCGCCTCCTGGGTTCAGGCAATTCTCCTGCCTCAACCTCCTGAGTAGCTGGGATTACAGGCATGCGCCACCATGCCCAGCTAATGTTTTTGTATTTTTAGTAGAGACGGGGTTTCACCATGTTGACCAGGATGGTCTCGATCTCTTGACCTCGTGATCCACCCGCCTCGGCCTCCCAAAGTGCTGGGATTACAGGCTTGAGCCACCGCGCCCGGCACTATGTGCTGCTTTAAAAAAAATTAACTCATTTGATCCTCACAATAACCTATGAAGCAGTATTATCCGTTTTCCAAATGAGGAAACTGAGGCATGGGCTTCGAAGCTTGCCCAAAGTCACGCAGAGATAAAAGTAGCAGGACTGAGATTTCTGCCTATGTGGTTTTTCTCCAGAGCTCATACTCTAAACAACAGTGCTGCTCTAAAATGAATCATTCTAAAGTGCCACTCTGATTAGATCATTTCCGCACTCAGCCAAACTCTTCCTTGGCTCCTGGGTATAGATGGTTCAGGTCATTCACTTATTCTTTTATTGAGTGCTTGCTGTAGGCAGAGGTAAATAAGGACATCCTGTCCTCAAGGAGGGCAAGGTTTAGTGAAAGAATAAATGGCAGATATGGTGGGCTAATTGCAAATGGTGATAAATGTGGCCCCCTTGGGGGCATGGTTAATTCTGAGCAAGGGAGTGAAAGTTGGGGAGGCTTCACCGATTGGTGCTAAGCCACGAAGAGGGCTGAAGATAGTTCAGATAGTGGACAAGGGTGTGGATACTCAAATAGCCAGTTGTGAGCTCCGAATAGATTTTGATTGGAGGTTGGCAGGAGGGTTGAACACTGAGTATGGGTTTGTGGTTTCCAAAGTTTTTTGTTTATATAACCCATCAGGCAAAATCTTTTGAGAAGCAGCCCTTTGTATGTTTTTGTCATACTTCGCCACAGTCTCATTTTTAAAATCCTAGCAGTTAATAAAAAAGATGGATTGTCTTGATGGATATGTGATAAATATGGTATAGTAAAAATGGTAGAATCTCAGTCATGGGTATTCAGATGTTCACTGTAAAATTATTTCAATTTGCCATATGTTTCAAGTTTTTCACAATAAAATGTTGGGGGAAAATTCCCAGCAGTCCTCTTCAGTCCTTAGAACCACTCTTGAGGAATATATAACTCTTAGTCCCTGTGCTAGATTATAACAAACTCTGAGCTTTTCGTATTTTCCATAATGTCCTCAGTACTTTGAGTGCAGGGTACATTGTTTTTTTTCCATAATGAATAGGTCAATGATCCTAAGAGAATGGATTGTAGGAATGACTTTCTAAAAGAGGATAGTGTGGCTCTTGATAGAATGGATTTAAGACCAGCTCCAAAATTGCATATCTAAAGTATCTGTCGATGTTATCAATGAGTGAAGTTCTCTCCTGGTTCTGGTCAGTAAGTTTTTTGTTGTTATTGGAGTGATGAAGAACTTCCTGGATTATATCATAGACTGGAAAGGTATTGATTAATAACAGATTGTGGTTTCCCTTTTCAGAGGAGTGTTCTACTGTGTTGAAGGTGGGAAATTTTCACTTGAATGATCTGCATGCCTACTATTTTTTTTGACTGAATGTCAGTGCCTCAGAACAAAACCCACTACTGTCTGTCTCCCCTCTTTGGTTTCTGTTCTTCAGGCCAGACCACAAGATGGGCCTTTATTCCCAGTCTCATTTTCATTTGTGATACAGAAAATGGAGGTAGAAGGATGAAATAATAGATAAGTTGCTGGGTTGTCTGTTTAGCTTTAGACAACTTTGGACTTACCATGAAAAGATCCAGTGTATATTGTTGGGATGAATTTTATCATTTGGCTGGTTTCATTATATGCTCTTCAAACCTTTGTAAATGATAATCGGTAGAAGGAAAATTAAGTAAACCCACAAATTGCTTCCTGATTGCTTCCTAAGGGTCTGAGAAACAGAGCAACCTAAAGCAGTTTTAGATTGTGATTCAAGAGATGATTTAGGGTAATTAAGGGAATGAATGCTTTGTTTTAATGGTTACTGTGTAATTAGAAAAAAAAGATCATCACATCAAACCCTCCATTTCACAGCTGTACCTTTTTAGAATGGGTATGATTACATAAAATGAGTTGATTTAAAGAAAAATATTAAGTTGTGGTACTTGGATATGGCAGAAATCATGTTGGTGGCATATGAATAACTAGACTTTGAGAACAGATACCATTTTGTGCTTTGGCTCTCTAGAATACGATAAAGCAATGGCTGCTATGCTTTCTGATTGTTTAGTTACCCCTTAGTCATAGACGTTCTGAAAAGTCAATGACTTTTCCAGATGCTCTCATGGTTGGAAAATAATCAAAATAGTAATTACTTCTTAGGCAACAAGTTGTATATTAAATGCTTTAAAAATTTCTCATTTATTTCCTGGGATACAGAGTTTCAAGAAAAAAACAATCTCGTTTAGGCTGGGCGTGGTAGCTCACGCCTGTAATCCCAGCACTTTGGGAGGCTGAGGCGGGTGGATCACGAGGTCAGGAATTCGAGACCAGCCTGACCAACATGGGGAAACCCCATCTCTACTAAAAATGCAGAAATTAGCTGCGCATGTTGGCATGCGCCTGTAATCCCAGCTGCTCAGGAGGCTAAGGCAGGAGAATCGCTTGAACCTGGGAGGTGGAGGTTGCAGTGAGCCAAGATTGCCCCACTGCACTCCAGCTGGGCAACAGAGGGAGACTCCATCTGGAAAAAAAAAAAAAAAAAGTCTCATTTAATCCTCAAGAGTTGGTAAGGTGCATGGTAATCTCCCCATTTTACAGTTGAGTAACTGAGATACCAAGAGGTAAAATAATTTTTCTTTTTCTTTGTTGTAAGTACTAGGGAGTGGTGGATAAACATTCTTGTTCTAGGTTTATATTCCTCAAAGCTTCCACAGTCCCACCATCCTGTTTCCTTTGTTTTGTACATTCTTGGGTAAGATTGTACACTCTTATTGGCTAGATAATATGCATAGATACATACATAACATTGAAGAAAAACAATCATAAGTAGATTTTTTTTTTTTTTAAGATAGGGTTTCACCATGATGGCCAGGCTGGTCTTGAACTCCTGACCTCAGGTGATCCACCCACCTCGGCCTCCCAAAGTGCTAGGATTACAGGCGTGAGCCACTGCGCCCGGCCATAAGTAGACTTTTTTAAAACACTTAGTTTGTGCTGGCATTGCTAAATGTACAATAACTGCCAATACAAGGCAAATGTGTAAGCCAAGTGCCAAATGAGTC